GGGAAATTCGCTAAAAACGAGGTATTGTCAGTCAGTCTGTCTGTCTAGCCGCCTATCACATCCATTGACATCCATTTTTGGCAAATTTTAAACTGATATAGACAAAATTAAATACGATGATCTAATGTTTTAGGCTTATTCGCTTCCTCTACTTAACGGACTAATTTCATACGTGGAAAGCCTAAAATACTTACTTACAAAATAAAACATTATATAGCAAAATAAGTTTAACAATAAACATTTATCATACTAAACAATACGCTTCCTCTACTTAACGGACTAATTTCATACGTGGAAAGCCTAAAATACTTACTTACAATTAATAAAACATTATATGGCAAAATAAGTTTAACAATAAACATTTATCATACTAAACAATCCAACTCACCCTTAAATATTGAGCCGAGCCATTCACAATATGGCTCCAATAAATGTTCCCTTCTTTTAGTCTTGCAATAAGTAAATTTACTTTTTCATTTCAGACATTACAAAAATATTATTCAACATCATATCTATATATTTAATACACTAGGCATATTTTTGTCATAATTGTTTTGGAGCGGTGGTGCTACCGATCACCATGTCCAAGGTGTCGTTAGAAAGGTCTTAAGCATTATTTTTGCCATCAAGCAAAAAAGCTTTGGAATTACCCCAGTGGCCTTCAAAGTTCCCATGTTATTCTTAGGGAGAAAATGTTTGAATACTTTGAAATTTACACTAATATTTGAAACAGCTGGTTGTACTAAAATTGGGGACATTTTTGTGCTATAAGTATTTATTAGATAAGTTGAAATGATTGATGTTTCAATGTTTTAAACCAGTTTTTATTTGCAAAAAATCAAAACATAACCAAAGAAACATTCGACATAACGGAGACTAAGACATCGACCAGGACGGCCAATAGGAGGAGGCCTACGAACTTTAACTGGTAGATGCGAACAAAATACAAATAATACTAATGTCGTTGATAGCCGAATACAGCATGCACCATTCCGTGTTGGGTTTAAGGGTGCTCTCCAACAGCCGCCTGAAGATTTCACATTCAATTTAGGACTGTTGGATAATTGCTGCATAAGCTGTTGATTTTGGAAGACAAGGAAGTGGGTAGGACTACATCGGAAACAGAAGAGAGGTGATATTAGATTGTTGGAAAATGCGTTGGGAGCAGAATGTTTAATGTTAACGTTTTAAAGGTAAACGTTTGGATATATACCTAACATCTGAAAGAGACTGGAAAAAGATTGGGAGATGGGCCATTATGAAACGCAGTTTGTCACAGGACATGGAAAATTTCAAGGCGAAATTGTGGTGATTTCACCAAGTGGAAGAAGAAGTATGTAGATGTGGTGAAATAAAAACCACGAGTCAAGTATTTATAAATTGTTCACTTGAGGAGACAAATAGGAGAGAACAGGAATAAGTCTTGGTTATTTATTTACCTATTCAAAAAACATATGAAGTACTACGATCCTGAAGCAAAATACCTTAAAGAGAACTTTTTGAAAGCTCTGCAAAAGTTTGAGTTAACGAACAGAAATGAAGACAAATTAGAAATGATTAATAGAAAAAGGATATACGACATGAAACTAAGAAACCTAAAAATGTCCTCAACAGCTAGCTTCATAGAACAAGCTGACAACAAACCAAAAGCACTATGGCAAGTTATAAACAAGGAAAGGAAAGGAAAATGTGAAGAGAAAACCCTTGCAGAATTAGAAATAAATGGCAAACTCACAAACAACACAAAAGAAATGGCCGAACACTTCAACACATTCTTCTCAAATATAGCAGAAAATACCCTTGACCAAAACAGAGCAATCGTTATAGACCCTGAAACAGTGCTGAGTGGAGAGGAACCAGTCTGCCCAATACACCTTACCCTAACTTCAACATCCTATAAAGAAGTTAAAACGATAATAAACTCCCTAAAAGCCAAAACATCAAGTGGAATAGATGAGTTTTCCTCTAAGATGATAAAGCACTGCTCTCAAGAACTCATCTCTCCTCTGGTTTATCTTATAAATAAATCATTTAAAGAAGGCAAATTCCCATCCGCCATAAAAGTCAGTAAAATATACCCCAAACATAAAAAAGGACCAACTGAAAATGCTCAAAACTACAGGCCCATTTCTCTCATCTCCAGTTTCTCTAAAATCATAGAAAAAATTGCTCTGGCTAGATTAATAGCACATCTTAATCATAACAAACTCTTAACTGACAACCAACATGGCTTTCGGAAGAATAAATCCACATCCTCAGCTATAACAGCACTAATTGAGTACGTCCTAGACCAGATAGAAAACGAACAATACATTTCCGCCATCTTCCTTGATTACAGTAAGGCTTTTGACTGCCTGGGCCACGACCTGATATGCAAGAAACTTGAAAGACTCGGTATAAGAAACTCTGCGCTAGAATGGTTCAAAAGCTACCTAACGGGACGTTCACAAGTCGTGGAACTGAAAAACTCATCAAATGAAGTCACAGAAAGTTTCAAATCTTCAAAAAGCAAGCTGACGAGAGGAGTTCCACAAGGCTCTGTATTAGGCCCGATTCTATTCATCTTATTGACTAATGACTTCCCCAAACAAATTGAGAGTGAAAATGCTGTTGCAATCATGTATGCAGATGACACAACCATTTTGATCAAGGACAACACAGCCCAAAGCCTTTACCTTAATTCAAAATCGATCTTAAATAAAGCTATCCTCTACTCAAAGAACAATGACTTAGCAATAAACCCCACAAAAACTACAACTCTGAATTTCAGTAAGAAAAAAGACATAGTCCCTCAATTAGAGGATGTAACAATAGAAAACTACACAAAATTTCTCGGTGTTATCCTTGATAACAAACTAACATGGAAAGAGCACATCAACCACCTAAGCAAAAAAATCAGTACTGGAATATATGTCGTCAGAAGGATAAACTACATAGGCGGACTCTCTGTGGCCAAAACAGCTTACTTCGCACTGGTAGAGTCGCATCTTAGATATGGCTTGACAGTGTGGGGAGGAACTTCAACAAAAAATATGAATCGAATTCTTGTCCTTCAAAAGAAAGCCATAAGAGCCCTCGCCAACCTTGTACCACCACAGACTTGCAGACTAGCATTCGTAAACCTAGGAATCCTCACAGTGGTGTCTCTCTACATACTTGAAACCATTAAGTATGTGAATGAAATAAACCCCCCAAGAAACCAAGACCTGCACCACTACAACACCCGTCATGGCTCCAAATTTGCACTACCAGTTCACCGAACAACTCTTTGGGAGAAAAAACCTTCCTACACCGGCTGCAAGCTGAGGAACCATCTACCTAACTACCTGAGAGACCTGACTGGCAACAAGCTACACCAGGAGCTGAAGAAGTGGCTAATCGCAAGACCCTTCTACTCAATAAAGGAATTTTATGAAAATTAACATGTACAATTCACTATTGTATTGACACTATTGTAATTCTTGACGAATTAACAATAAAGAATATTGTATTGTATTGTATTGTATTGTCTTGGATAAGAGAGGTCAAGAGATTATTAAATGGAAAAAAGCGAGAGAGTCTGGATAGTTTGATATACTAAAAAGAAAACTGAATTAACACATTTCTTAGTAATCATTGAAAGAGCCGATTTGCCTCAATGGAAACTTAGGAAAGTCATAGAACACCACCAAGGAGAAAAAAAAAATTTTTTTTTTTTTTAGAACTTATAATTGTTATTATGGACAACCTAATGCGGCTATGAGTTAGGCTATTTGTAGAAAACACTATTTACAAGAAATATTGATTATATCGATCTGTTATGTACATCTTGAGTATTTCCATAATCTTTGAGTCGAATCTTTTAGTCATCAGAAATTATTTTAGGCCTATGACTGTTATTCATTTTTTAAATAACGCCTGTTATACTTATCAATTGCTCGAATTCGAGCAATAGGTAGGTACACTAGTATATTATTACGTATTATCCCACCTCAAACTGGTACATTTAGTTTATAGTTCATCTCTGGAATGTTATGATACCCCTTAAAACTATAGATAAGATTATCACTACATAACGTCTTCATTTTATATATTTGCTATATTTATATAGGAATAAAAATATCATAATTTTTTAGTAATAAGTTAACTAAATAGTATTGTGCTTTTGTGAAATAGTAGTTTTCATCACTAGGACCGAAAGTGGCTAAATCGTATTTTACAAGGGAGATATGATTAAGCCGAGCTTGGAAATATGATTAAGTACCAAAAAGACACTTTTGCTCCGTGTGATGAACAACCATTTTCATCATACTGTGGAAATAAGCACAGCAATCTAATCGTAATAAAATTAGACCACATAATTTGAGGTTATAAAATGTCGTCATCAATGTTTACATTAATGTTGTTTAGAAAACATAACTTTAAATACTGTGTGGTTAGTAGTGTCTCGATAATGCACTGATAAAATTTAGAGGTTAGCAAACCGAAAAATTTACCATGTGTTTTGTTACCTGAAAACGGTGATTTGGCTGACGATTTAGAGAACTTAAACGGCTACTTTCCAGACAGTATGATGAAAATTGTATTCGTGCGACTGTGCATTTTACAAACATAGCCTATTAAATAGTATGTTTTGATAGAATGGAAACCAACTGTTTTCGCAAAGCTCAGCTGTACTGAAATGATCTATTCTTGTACATATTGTTAAATAAATGCATTTTTGGCCATTAATCTGACAAAAACAACCTACAGGCATGTATATTATTTTGTTATACAGCTAAGAGGTTGTTTAGTTCATCTTAGTTCATTTATATTACAGTAGCGCCATTTTTAGACGGTGCTGCAATCTAGTTAGAGGGGACAGTTTAGTACATTTCTTGTTCACGTGTCCACCCGCATAGTCTTCAATCTATAGTGTTGTATAGTCAATGCTAATATTGACTGGCCATTAAAATATTTAATGTTAAAATCGCTACAAAGGTATATCACAATAATGGAAAATCTAATACAAATTCACTTACGAAATGGTACTTTAGTCGTGAAGCAGATTTCGAAAGTGTCGTAGTTTTCTGTGACAAATGTAAACTTTGACTTCCCAATATCATGATTTTGGGCAAGAATGTGGCCTTTGGAGTCAGTCACCTGTGAAAAATGAGGAGAATATGTTGTTCATCCATTAGCTTTAAAAATACAGTGATCTTACAGAACTAGTTAAAAAATCTACATCAATATTTTGAAAAAGAATAAGGTTGAGTAAAATAATAAGTTAATGTTACCCAGTTTCAAGAACTTTCAACATCAAAGCTGGCATTTTGGGCCTGTGATTAGCGGTAAATTGTCCCCTCTGGTTAAATAAAAGGATCCAGTTGTCGTTTCCTACACGAAAGGTTTGGTCGTAACAGTCAATCAATTGACCAAAATCGCCGATAACGTAGCCTAGCTTAAATGCCACAAGGATGTAAATTACAACATAGTGACCTCTGAATATTCCACACCTTGTGGCCAAAAATGCACATAAGGAAAAAACTGCAACACTCAAGAACTCAAGGCAACAACAAAACAAAAATACCCCCGCCGCAGCAAACCTGCTGACTAAGCGAATTTCCATTTGCCTGAATTGATTTCAATTACGTAACATTAGGTTTTATGAGCCTACCTAGGCTTGCTGCTACAGAAAGGGTAAAAACGCTACAACAGGGAGAGTCAGACAAACTCCTACTAAAAAACTGCCAACCGAGACTACAACAGGAAGAGTCAGACAAACTTCTACTAAAAAACTGCCAACCGAGACTACCACAGGGATAGTCAGACAAACTCCTACTAAAAAACTGCCAACCGAGACTACAACAGGGATAGTCAGACAAACTCCTACTAAAAAACTGCCAACAGAAACTGCAACAGGGAGAGTCAGACAAACTCCTACGAAAAAACTGTCATCTGAGACCTCAACGGAACAAGTATCAACAGGGGGAACCAGCCAAACCCCGCCACAAAAACTGTCACAAGTGTCACAAACAGTAAAAGCTCAAGAAAGCCTGAAAGAGACCAAAAATAAAAATAAACTTCCACCCCTAAATGCTAAGCCAAAGAGCAAAGACGAGGATTACAATGATTTCTTTGTAAAAAATATAGGATTTTATTCAGAACATAAGAAGCATTATGGATATTTAGTAAAAAGGGAGGCTGCATCGCTACAGGATAATAACTTTGTTTTTTCCTCACCTTCTCAGATTATTCCAACTCCAACACAGCCTGATTTTACTTTAAGAAAACTGCAAAAATCAGCAGAGACAAGAGAAACGCAACCTGACTGTTTTTTAGACAATCGAGTCAGGATGTAAACTCCAAACTCATCCTGCTGCACCAAAATACACAGGAAGTCTCAAATAAAATAAATAGACTACAGCACCTTTTAGAAGAAACCAAACCTGACATAGTAATTCTGACAGAACATGGACTGAAACCTGAGACAATAAGTAGCACCGTCATAGCTACTGGATTCTGCCCCAAGGCTCACTATAGTAGAATAGAACACAAAAAGGGAGGTGTTTGCATTCTTGTAAAAGAAAGCCTTGAGAGCAGCACAGTAGCCATAGATGTTTCCAAGTACTGTAAAGAACTGTTATTTGAAGCAGCTCTTATAAAAATAAAATTCAAGAACTCAAATCTGTTTGTACTGGGAACCTACAGACCCCCAAACGGAGACCTTGAGGAATCATTAAACACCTTTACAGAACTAATTGAGGAAACAAAAATTGAAAATTCCCCTCTTATCATCATGGGAGATATTAACGTTGATTTGTGTAACCCAAACAGGAAACACATTATCTTAAATGAAACTCTTGCTATGCACAACATCCAGAGACTACAGCTTCTACCTACGAGAATAACAAATCTAACACAAACCTCCATTGACTGGATATGTACAAATATGGACACAAACCAACTCACTCCAGAAATCATCAATGCAGGACTTTCGGATCATACTGCTCAACTCTGTACTGTAAACTTCAACTCACACATCAACTCAAGTTATCCAGTCCAAATTGGACGCTGCCTAAAAAATAAATACCCCCGCCGCAGCAAACCTGCAGACTAAGCGAATTTCAACTTCTCTGATTACATATTTACTAAAACGAGAGCACGCCCCGTGGTCGAAAAATCGACCAAAAGTATGTTTTGTGCAAACTTCTCTATTTTCACCTCACACTGTTTAATAAAACATGTGATTGGAATGTCTTCCATTTGTTTTGATTTTCTGTTTATATTTTGTTGTTATTTCGTCATCACCATAGCAACCCATAAAACCCATGTTAATTTTTTTAAATTTCAAATTCATTTTGTGTGCTTATTTTTGTGCCTATTTTAGTTTATAAAGGGATTCTGCACACCTACAGGAAATTAGCTTTCTAACGGTATGCGTAGATTTTCTGTACGATACACACGAGCTGAGAAAAAAGGTTTTAAAGAAACATGCTTGCCTATTAATATATAGATAGATACTTCCATAAATAAGACATATTTATTCCCAATTTAAATAACATTAGATAGGCTATAACGAGTACTTAGGTTTGCTGCTACGGGGAAGGTAAACAGTGGTTTATGACCAAACGTCAATAGTATAGGATGAAATAAATAAGTTTGCCAAATTTGATCAACATATATCCATAAACAAGTAAACTACAACAGTTTTCATTTTCTCCATAAGAATAACATGGGAATTATAAATTAGCATTTTTTTTAATTTTCTCCGTGACCGTTAGGCATACCCTACAACAATGCTTCAATATACTAAATTATTTCTTTTTTAAGCTCTACAAAATGGTTGGGAAAGAAATTCTAAAATTTTATGTTTTTAGGGTCAAAAATGGGAAAAACCCATTTTTACCCCATAAAACCCCCCATTAACCCCTGTTCCCATGGTCCGATTATGCTGAATCGCGAACTCGTTCGAATAAATGTAGGTTTACACATTTGTACCAAATTTCATCAAAATCGGATCATTTTTGCTCGAGTTATTGCGCTAACGGACACATATATATATATATATATATATATACCACAAGTTGAACTGTTAACAAGGCTAACATGTTATTCAAAACCGTGTTAACTTAGGCCGTGTGTTTTAACTTAGTATTGAGTTCTGCAGGCTTACTGAGAATATATATGAATTTGAACGGATGGTGTTTTTGGCCTCTAGGGACCTCAAAACGAAAAAAAATCGGTCCCGCGTCCAGGTCTTACCATGAGTACTACGGTAATAGCTTATTCCCTATATGGGAAATTCGCTAAAACCTGCAAGACCTCAAGTCTTCTCAGTCAAGAAAACTGGCTTAGTGTTACCTCAATAAACAATGCCGAAGAAGCTTTTAAAACTTTTAGTAACATAGTGAGAGTAGCTATGGATGCAGCCTGCCCCCAAAAGAAGATAAAAACACAAAGAAAACATAAACTAAAATTCTCTATGGACCCAGAAGCAGTGAGACTTAAAGCCGAATTTCTTAAAGCTCTAAGAAAGTTTGGGGTGACGGGAAATCCAGATGACAGAAGGGTTTCTATTGAAAATAAAAAGAACTATGACCTGTAGGGTACTTGAAAACGATGCGGAAAAAGGTTAACTCTAACCAGTTGATGAAAGCTGAAAATAAATCTAAAGCTATCTGGGAAACAATAAACACAGTGTGGTCCAAAAAGGGAACATCCCTAAATGAAATAACCCTTCAAGTAGATGGCCAACTTATAAGTAATGTGACCCATGTTGCAGAGCATTTGAATACATTTTTTACACAAGTAGGAGAAAAAACAGTAGAGAAACAAAAACACCTAAAGACCACAGCTCAAACTCCTGACGTAACTCAAACAGGTCCATCATTTTCCTCCTTTCAAAGCACAGACGAGAAGGAAGTTAAAATGATTATAAACAAACTTAAAGGAAAAAACTCGTCTGGAATTGATGAAATCTCGTCAAAAATACTTAAGGGGGTTCCCTGCCTCGAACTGTTTTCAATTTTCTGCGACCCTGGTGAGTTTAGTTGGAACTACAAGACGACAAAATATTCCCTAGGATTGCTGTCTGCTGGTCCATTTAACATTATTGTGGTCCCTCCGCGAGACAGTAGTTTCGATAAAGGCCGCTAGAGTCCGTCAGAATCATAGCACTTTTCGCCGTGCAAGGTTTTACGCGGTTTCATTTTGCACATACAAAAAATAATCTTTTCTTGAAACTAAAAGTGACTTGATATTTTTAGTTAAATTTCGCACTAATATTGCTTTATTAAAAATCGATAATTTCATAAAAAGATATTATTATTTAACTGTAAAGTTCACTAACTTTGACAAGTCGTTGCCCTTGATTGCGTAAGCATAGACATTTTTTAAAAAGCAAACTTAGTAGAACCACTCTTTATGTACAAAATGGTGTTTGGTTCACAATTTAAATGTTAAAACTAGAATCGCTATATGATACCGCGCGAAGCGGTTTTCTGACGTTTTTCGGCGGGGGTAGGGAACCCTCTTAAGCATTGCTGCAATGAACTAGCACTACCATTGGCTGATTTGATAAATAAGTCCCTAAAACAAGGCATCTTTCCTTCACTACTTAAAATAACTAAAGTATACCCGAAATTTAAAAAAGGTAGCACATTAGAAGCAAGCAACTACAGACCAATTTCCCTTGTTTCCACCTTCTCCAAAATATACGAAAAAGTTGTTTTAAAAAGACTTTTAGACCACTGCACAAATCACAACCTACTAAACAACCTGCAACATGGATTTACAAAAGGGAAATCCACAACAACAGCAATAATTCAGATGGTTGAGTCCCTGATTAACAGCCTAGATGAAGGAAATCTAGGAATCTTTCTTGATTTCAGTAAGGCATTTGACTGCCTTGACCTCCAGCTAATCATTAAAAAGCTGGATTCCCTGGGGGTATCAGGGATAGTAAGAGAATGGTTTCAAAGCTACCTTACAGACAGGAGTCAGTTTGTAGAACTAAGGCACAGAGATAACAGCCTAATAAGAAAAACAAGATAAAATTTTCAACCAATAAATCGAGGAGTTCCCCAAGGGTCAGTTATGGGTCCGGTACTGTTTATTCTTTTTACCAACGATTTGCCGCAACAAATAGGAGACGCCTGCCTTACTCTTATGTATGCTGATGACACAACCTTAGTGTTTAATGAACCACTAGCTGAAAATCTAGAAGTAAAATCCTATGTTACCTAGGTACCTAGGTGTAATCTATCTCAGTATGGCCTACCAATACTGCTATAACAATGATCTCGCAGTAAACACGTCTAAAACAACTCAAATAGCTTTTGGCCGTAAATCTCAAGAAGTGCCACGACTCCCAGATGTAGAAGTGGAAGATGAAGCTAAGTTTTTGGGCATCACACTCAACAAGAATTTAACCTGGACCCCTCATGTGGACAATATATGTAAAAAATTAAGTTCAACCATCTATGCTCTTAAACATATAAAAAATGCAACAGATGACATGACAACAAAAGTAGCATACTTTGCACTTTTCGAGTCGCATATGAGATATGGACTTGTAGCATGGGGTGGAACCTCTGCCACTAACATGCAAAGAGTTCTCAGAAAACAAAAAAAGGCAGTCAGAATAACTGCAGGACTCCACAGACTCGACAGCTGCAGGGAAGCATTCAGGTCACTCAAAGTACTTACCCTTGTAGCACTCTACATCCAGGAAGTTGTGTTATTTGCAGTAAGAAATAACCCTACAAGGCGTGGCGAAATGCACCAACACAACCTGAGAAACACCATGCAGTACAACCTTCCACAACATCGCACGGCACAGTTTGAAAAGAAACCTTCATACGCAGGAATGAAAATATACAACAGGCTACCTCCAGATCTAAGAAGCAAGTCAGAAGATGACCTCAAACCAGCTTTGCATCAATGGCTCATTAATCGACCTTTCTATTCCTTAGAAGAATACCATCAACAGGTCTTTGACTAAACAAGACCTCAACCACACATTTAGAAAAAATTTTAAATTGACGCTACTACTATTCTTAATGAATGTGTAAATAAAGATTAATTGTCTATTGTCTATTGTCTATTATACCTTCAAACCAAATTTCATCAAAATCGGACCACAATTACTCAAGTTACCGGTATCGTGTTCACGGACACATATATGTAAATCTAGGCTATATATTATATTTGATACTGTTCACGTGTAGGGCTACTGTAATTAATATTAATAAATAATACACCATAGTACCCTTTTTTTAATAATTTTTTTTATTTTAATTATTTCGCTAAACAGGTAGCCTAACTTAGTAAAATAATAAGTTTACTAACTACATAAAAATCTAGCATCCTATCTATCTCAGATACTACAATATTATTTAAACTTAAACGCCTCCCTCTTTTATTAACGTAGGTAATGTAAACTTACTTTCTAAAAAGTTATAAAAATGTAGGTAGCCTACAAAAAAGTCTAATAAATAATTGTTATTTTCAGTCTACACTTTACTTTTAGGTGTATCATAAGTAATGGGTTTTTGTTCGAACAACTTAGGCTAATTAAATTAGCCTAATAACTTTCACAAAAAAATAACTTGAAAAAAAATTATTTTTTTCCAAATACGAACAATTAGTTGAACCTGAGTGAGTAGTGTCTTTGATAGCCTATTTGGATTTGGCACTAACGTACTTGCGGACATTGAGACTTTTGGGACATGCATGTACCTGACAACAGGGACATAATTCATAGTCATGGGCCATTCTTTAACTCACTACTGGCATGGTATCTAAGTTATCTTTGTAGTACCGTATATCTGACTGTGTAGACTAATCAAGTAGCCTACCGCTAGCATGATTTAGTAACAAACAAACCATTAAGTTTGCACCTTAACTTAAATTAATTGTACGGTAGGCCTACTCTTATGTTTTTCCATGAACCACCATCTGATCCAGAGTAAAGCTGCTCTAAAGATTCAGATGGTAATCAAGTGGAGGGGGGGGGGGTTCTGGCTAGACTGCTGACAATAGACTGATTTTCCCTAATTTAATTCAAATCCATTTGTTTTGAAAAACTTAATATCATCCCCAAGCCATACCAAAGTAAGTTAGTACAGGTATTGTCTACTTAAAGGACAACATACACTCTTGTCGAGGCTAGTGTAGGTTGGTGCTAAACATTCCCGTAAAATCCCGTCTGGCAATGATTTTGTCCCGTTATCGGGGAATTCTCTAATCGAGCCATATGAAAAAGACTCTGATTATTGATCCAGGCAGTGCTGCCTTTGGGTGTTTTAGTGAACTACGTCTACTTTCGGGGTAACGCAGAACAATCATCACTGCTCTTTTGTGATTCGTCTTACTGAGATATTTCAATGCCAATAGCGATCGCTGATTCAGTACAGTAGCGTGCCGGGGCTCCGCCCGCAGTTTAGGGAGCACCATTGTAAGGTTTTCAGCAGTAAGCGTGTTAACAGGAAAGTACCCCTGAAACTACATTCAGAAACCAGAAGATGAAATATCACCTGGACGGATCTTATGTAGGTTAACGACTTTGGTTATGAAAATACAGGCAAGAATATAGAAAAAGACCTGGCAAGAAGACAGATTACGTGGATACAGGCCAGCACTTGCTGAGGACCAAGAAGGGTGGTGGGATTTTTTCGAAGTTGGGAACTCACGGAAATAGGCCAAGAGTAATATCAGCACAACATAAACAATTCATAAAATATTGTAGATATTGAAACTCCTCCCCTCCCTGGCCTAGGCTACTTGTAAGTTTATTCATAGGTCTACTCATCAAAGTATTATGTTCCTAGAAAAAAAATAAAAATTGCTGTAAAAAGTGTATGGATTACTTGCGTGTTTTACTTACCACGTAGTCAACCTTTTGATTAGGCTGCTGTTCTACTTCAATCTCTCCAACAATCAGAACGTTTTGTCTAACCTCTTCTCTTAAACACTTCTGTCCATTTGGAACCCCATGAAACATAATTGCTTGTACAATAAAAGTTTTAAACAACAACAGAAAGATTAAATTTGAAATCATTTTTAAAAATTTATTTCCGGGGATCCTAAATATTTGGCACAAGAGGCAAAAAACTAAATTATTTTCATGTATTTAAGTTAGCATAGCAGCATAAAAGCAAGCATACACATAAAGGTTAGCGGCCAGCGGGAAGAAGGTAGGTGAGGTGGCTATGGCCAGGCCAACAAACAGACGATGCGTAAGCAAATACTGCCTTTTAAATCACGCTATTTTAAGAAATCGACAAGAATATCAATGTTACGAGACATATGTACAAAAAGCTACATTAGATTAGGCCTATATTTTATTATTATGTTCCCACGGCATTGAGAGATTTATTGTCTTATAATTGACAGTAAAAATTGTAATACACTGTGGGATTCAGATGCTACGAGACAATTTCATAAATCAGTCAATCTCAATAATTTTCGAGCTAGTTTTATTTATGAGCTATAGGCCAGTAAAATTAGATAAAAACTAGTTGTTTCCAGTTACTAATATGCTAATATTAACTACATTTCAATGTCATTTTAATAATTTAAATACAATTTTATCTTGTTACTACATAATAAATAAAAAGTCAATACTCAACAGGCTACTGTTTTAATAAAGGTTTTAACAGAGTACACAATACTGCCTGACAGAACAGTTAACATTTACATCTTACTTTTGACATGTTAAAGGCGACTCTTTCCATAAGATTTTTTTCGCAAACACTCTAATAACGTCGGGTCGCTGTCAACGCGCCACCACGTCAAACCGCCACCACGGTGTTTTGGTCAGAGGCGTCAACCCGCCACCACAAAAAAACCGAGGTGGCGGGTTGACGTGTACGTACAAGTCAACCCGCCACCTCGACAACAGGCCACCACGACAACCCACCACCACACAATTTTCCGAGGTGGCGGGTTGTCGTACACATTCGAGTCAATGAGCCACCACGACAACATGCCACCACGACAACCCACCAACACCAGTTTATATTAGAGGTGGCGGGTTGTCGTGAAGCTCCATGTTCGATATCGGCAACCCGCCACCTCGCACGTAGACGTCAACCAGCCACCACGTCAACCCGCCATCACTCTTTGACGAGGTGGTGGGTTGACGTGTACGCTCCGTGTTCGGCGCCGTCAACGCGCCACCTCGCTCATAGGCGACAACGTGCCACCTCGACAACCCGCCACCATGCACTCTTGTCGTAAATCGGTTGGATTTATATTATGTATCATTAAATATACGTATTGTACTTTGATTCAGTTAATTTAGAGAAGGTTAATGTAACTCTTAAATAGCATTTCTAGAAATGTTAGTTTTTCGGAAGAAAGATTGATAGGTAATACAATTATTAACATGGTGAAAACCAGACATTTGATTATTTATCACGCCCTTAAGGGTAAAAACTTTTCAACACCTTAAACTGAAATTTGTCCACAAATAAGGGAGGAGTAGTGTTCACAACAAACAGCCCTCACGTATTAATATAAGAGATCATAAAAATGTATACCAAAAACAAAAATAGAATATTTATTTTACTTAATAGCCAGTGAATAAACATTTTTTTTCATTAGGCGTATAAATATACATATATAAGTTTTTTACCACCACGTGCGCACGCAATATACGTGTGAAAATCATGCATTTATAAATTTAAACCGGCGATAGTCAGGGATTGCCCTTGTGCCATATAATGGTGATTGCGAAAGCAAGACGCAAAGAAAATTGTATTCACTTGAATTCAAAAGGTAATTCGGGTGAAATGATCGGTATTCTGTGATTAGACCACGAAATCTAAAAGACCCGGTATGGATTATAAACATAAAATAATTATATTTTATTCCCGAAATTAAACAAAACCATATCTTAATTAATCCTATTAGTATAGGGGTTTTGTTTACTTTCGGGCCAAAAACGTAATTTGTTTATGTTTATGATAAATACCGGTATTTTTCTATTATTCGTGGATTAGACTAATTCACCTTTAAGCTTACCACGATGATTGTTGCTTCGATCAAGTTAAAAAAAATCGTAAGTCTGGTTCCGATGCACAGTTTCCACCGTAGTGACTTCTGACTACTTACGGATTACTTACGATGGAGACCAGGTCAAGTCCCTTCAATCGCACGCACCCCCACAGGTCTCCATCGGCACTCCCGTTTTGCTAACACTCTACCTGTACATTAATTTGATTTACATATGATATATTTTTTTTACTATTCATTTAATTATTATTATTGTTCACTTTATCTTTCTACTATATACACGTATTTTTTATTCTCATCTTGAATTTGTGAGCTTACAACTTCATTGGTGACCTCGACGTGATAGAACTTAGTTTCGTCGACCATGATCCCCGCTAGAGAAAACTGGGTTTCGATTTGTGCAAACCACAATAATTCTGGATCTGAGTGCCCGAAAGGGGGGTAATCTTGACTTGAAAATTCTGTCTACTGGTTATCCGTTTGACATCACGTCGGGGTCAACCAGTAACCACTGGCAAGGTGTTGAAGTTATTGCTCTTTTAACTTTGAACAAAATGGTAAAAACAACCCCCATGACTGTGAAGGTTACAGTACAATGGTTATTATCATGTAACAATGGTCAATGTTATTATTAACTTTTGTGATTTAAACCACAAAATTAACTAAGCTGAATTTTGATTTCCTCATTATCAAATCACAAGTTCTCGAATGCTCAAATACGTATAATTCACTGATCTTAAATTAATAAGATGCAATTCTCCTCTTGCAATTCTCAACTTCATTCGATGTTTTGTAAAATATATTTGAATAATCTCAAATACAATTGATACGATCTGAAATTAACACGATTCTTTCTTTAATAAGAACTGAAAATGTTGTAAAATCTATTAGATTAAATAGATCGATTGAACCTATTGTATCTATTGCAACCCAAGCTTGTGTTGAAATTAGTCACTTTACGCCCTAGTGTTAAAATGTATTATAAATTGGTTATGCTTCGATCATTTAGTTAGTCATGACGCCTTTTTACTATTTGGCCAAAACGAAAAAAAGCCGTATCAACAAAGACACCAGCTGACTAAGATAAAAGAAAGAAGATTATTGTACCTCACAAGCGGGCCCAGCAAAATGTTTATGCTACGAAATGTTAATATTAAGCGTTTCTTGACAGTTGTTAGTCCTGTTCTTCTGGCTAAACACGGAAAATGCTGCAAGCGTCAGCTTTTCAATCCATTCTTCTTTGAAATATTATTGAACGGCTTGCGAATTAACGGCTATTTTATTCTCCCCGTCAGATCTACGGACTCTATAACCTTTTGTGTTTATGGACAGTTTTATGTAAAGATTTATAATGAATATCAGTCATAAAACCATGTTTGACGTTTAATAATGTCACGCCATTGTCAGTGGCGTTGCTTGGTTAAATTCCAGGGGGGGGAGAAGCCTCAAATTTCCCAACTGCTTAACATAGATTTCCCAACTATTTTTTTTTAGAAATCAATTTCTGTACTATTTTTAAAAATCTACAAATTATTATACTACACTGCATTAACATTCAATTCAGTATTTATAAACTTGCATTAACAAAACATAGCTAGTTTTACATATATACAAAATTTCTAAAACTTCTACCAATTCATAATGAAATGTTATGACTTCAAAAAACTTGAACAAGTAATGTTTCAAAAAACTTTACAAACCATTGTGGTAGCAGACGTAGCAGTGTAAAATTTTAGGGATATAAAATGAGCCTCAGAGTACAAAGTAGTATAGAAAAAATATTTTATTACAAAATAATTAAACTAAAATACTTTTAGAAGTTAAAATCAACATTTTAACATTCATAAAACTTACAACTAGGGTAGGCCTAAACAAGTTTGTAATGATGAAATATTAATATCAGTGTTGTAAATAATATTATTCTAGTCTAGAAAAGAATAAACCTAAAATAAGACTCGACTCGTATAAAATAAAAACATTCAACTTGGTTGATAATAAACTTATACATACAATAAAAATGTTAACCTTCATCTTCATCAAACTAGAACTTAAACAAAAATCTAACTTAGAGTGAAAGTCAAACATCAAATTTTAGGCTATTTTTTGTCCACGTAGATCTGTTTCAGAGTAATTAGTTGATTCATTTTTGTAAATCCTTAATTAGGAATGATACATAACTTGTGTAGATTTTTAAAATATATTCAGATAATAAATATTGCATTTAGGTTATTAAAAAATAAGAGTTTTAAAGGTAATACAGATTCACAAAACCTATCTTTAATGTTATTTTAATCTGCTTATTAGCAAGTACTCCGGTCAGTTAGCCTGCTCCAAATACCACAAAAAGGGTATAAAATATATTTCATGTGACTGACGTGAAAAATATTTTTGAATTTCTTGTAAACACTAACAAACAACATAATTAAACAGAAGGGCTACATTGATTGCACTTTCAAAATTCAAACTCGCAGACGAATCATTCAGAATCATCAACACAGGACAGGATCAAGGTAGCCAACATAGTCCAATAAGGAACAAAAATTCTCGTATACAAAATTCCAACAAGCTATACCGCTATTTGATTATTGATTTCTTAAAATAAGGCGTGTTTAGCCATGGTTTAGCCTTGTTTAATCAAAGTTAAATTAAATCTAAGAAATGTCAAGTTTATTTGTCCAAGTATTTTGTCCAAGTCAAAAAATTTTTATCTTTGATGGATTTTTGCAAATATTTAATTTTTTTCAGTTTAAAAATATATTTTTCTTGTATCTGACTTCCCAACTGTCCCAACTCGTGGCAAGGAAATTCCCAACTTTTCTCTTTCCCAGATTCTAGGGGGGGGAGGCTCCCCCCCCTACCCCCCCCAAGGCGACGCCCCTGGCCATTGTAACAGTACATAACTTACAAACCAACCAAAACAACTTGTTGAAGTATTTGAACATTTTAAACCAGTGCTACTTCCAGATATTATTTAGTTCAGTGGTCAGAGGGATAAATTAATCACAATTACACATGGACATATTTTCATTGAAAAAAACAAAATGGTTTGCGGATAAGAAATGGTGATGATAATAAAGAAATAACACTAAATTTACTCTAGTGATTTATTGGGGAAAAAACTTTGAATACTTGGCCAACTATTGCCCGGCATAGCGGGCAAGTCGTTGGCAAGCGGATTGGGGTGTCCTCTACTTCACCATTACCAACTGTAACACTATGGTATACCTCTCTTTGAATAAATTCGTTTACACAACGACCACAAAGGACAATGTGTCCGCATGGACCGCAGAGGCGGGTTGCCCGATACTCCATACAAATTAGGCATACTGGTCCCTCTTCTGCCGCTTCCACAGTTTCATCAGGATCCCGCCGTAAACATCGCATGAGGCCCTCCCGTTGTTTTCTTATGTCCTCCAAGGACATGAACTCCTCAGCACACAGCTGGACCGGATTCCACTGATAGTCGTTGTACAGCGAGGTGGGAAGGGCTTCAGGGACCATCGCTGTTATTTGAGGTTGAAGCTCCATGACTGAATAAAAATCAAACAAATAATAATGTAGTTAGTTTGTTGTGTGAAATAAAATTTTGAATATTCCGTCAGGGCTTTGCCGCAGTAGTTTTTAAAGTTACTACGTTACCCTTAATAATATGGAGAAAAGATTTCTTTACATTTGAACAGATGTATCATTTGAATTTATATTAATAATTTAGGTACTGTCTAAGGGAGTATGTTTTATCTATGGTACTGTGTAACAGATATTAAAAAACAACCACAGAATCTTGATACTATTTTACCAAATTAATAGGTTAGGATCTATGACGTTCAACAATATTAAAAAGTTAAACCGTTCAACAACAGAGGACAGCACTATTTTTTTCTTTCCCGCGTTGTGAAGCACGGGTGGCTAAAACAGCCAGTGTAAAAATAATACTAATTGAAAACACAATCTAAAATGCAAGGTGGAAAAATCCCATGACTGTTTGATGTCAAAAATAATTAAAGGTAGAGTTTCAAAACTTAGTACCGGCCACGTTGCAGAGGAATGGTCCAGGTATACACTCGGTCAGGCCTAATCCACTGTCGTCAAAACATAGCTATGGTTGTGGTGGCGCGCAACCCCGTCCCAGCGGTCATTGCCACTAAATAACTCGGCCCAGTACAAATTCTATAAATCGAACGGGTGATCTTAGTGACAGGACATTTTAAGACGTGGTGGAAATATTACCTGGTTGTAAATTGTGCAGCTCTATCTCATCGTCAGCGTCGCCTGGCTGGTACGATTCCGCAAGAGTTGATATTTTGTGAATCGCAGCGGATAAAAACTCTGCCATTGATATTACATGGTTGTTGATTTTCTCTTGAATTTTTGCAATATCCGCATCCTGCAGCAGCCACTTATTCTTTCTTCCTCTAGCGCAGTCCCTCCCTCGACTCAACTGAGTGAAGAATTTGTTTCCTTCACCGAAATTGCCAGCAACTTACCTGAAGCATAAAATGGAGTATTACTATCACAATTTGGCAATTATTGTGTTTATTATAACTAAAATAAGAGTTCACTTCAAAATCATGCATAAAAATGAACGATGATGTTTAAAAGAAAAAAAAAATTACGGTGAAAATGACGATTGTAGACGAATGAGTGGTGTCGTGCTTGCAATTAACGGATTCAAACGATCAATGGCTTTAATTATTGCGTATAATTTACTGATTATTTTGAGTCGATAATATATAAAAATACCTAAACAATACTGGAGGTATTGATTTTCAATCATAGAAAAACCTTATAAAAAAAAGTATGTTAATTGTTTGCGTTTGCTTGAAACTCGTCCGATTTGAATAACAAATAGCTCAAATGATAGCCGGTATTTCACTGGAGCTTCCTAGATCATAATATATAGGATTTTATAATTATAACTTTTGAAATGCACCTTAAATTGAAGTAAGAAATCGAAAATAAATCAAATTTACGTGTTTTGATCGAGTAATACAGTAAATCGCATATATGCCGATGCTTGATGTGATGTCTGAGAGTGCATAACTTCAATTTGAGACCTCAATCGTGAGAGTCGGTCGGATAGAAGAGCCAAACAAACTCGGAAAAGAAAACCCTATTTTTAAAGAAAATTTTTTTGTAATTTAAAATAAATATATTAAAAGTAGGCTATATTATAAAATAAAAATTATGCTATTTTTTATTAATATTACCATTGACTATTGGATACTGAAGTTGATTTCATAGTACGTACATTAGAAAATACGTTATTCAGATGTAATAATTTTCAATAATTGAATACCAAACAGTAAATACGTTAAATATTCTGAAAATGTAATACAATCGTAGCGCCGCGCAACGCGTCGTGGGACATAGGCTTTTCTCTCTCTCACTCTATATTATATACATACATGTACTGTATATACAGGGTGGGAAAAAGTCTTGGGCCAGTTAAATATTATAAAAAGTACTAAAGGCATAGGTAGCTTCAATTTATTGACTCTCACAAGCGGCCTTGAATATACATAAAGTGCAAATCTGGATCCTCAAACTACGATTTTGGTGGCGGTTGTTTTAATCAGGACTTACGGCCATTCACAAATTAGACAAAGCCCAAAGCTCGTACCGCTAGTTCATTGAAATACAGAACAGGTAGACAGACAGATAGACAGACGGGCGTTCCAAGTAGACTGCGCTGTACGAGCACGATATTCCGCCATTTTTTTGGTGCGCTGTATGAGCACGCGCTGTACGAGCACGTAATCGAATGAGTAACCTCTTATTTTACGTAAATGTATAGGGGTAACGTCATAAAGCAATAACCGAACCAAATCTGCACATAGCAAATTGACGTGAATTTAGTGTCGATTTTTTTTTCTAAAATAGTAGGTCACTGTACTATATTGGAACTGAATAAATAATTGAATAATGAATAAATGAATGAATAATGAATAAATGCACGAACTAGCCTAGAACTGTTTATCATCGTAATTTATATTACAATTTTATTTTATTACAATAAGGTAATTTTATACATCAAATGTCCAGAAAACATAATGCCCTTGAATTTTTCCCCTTTGAATGTTTGCCCTTGAATTGCCTTTAATGTAGAAAAGTGCCCACCGCATGAAAAGGAAAGACGTCCAATGTAGCTTAGAGCCGAGAAGACAATGAATTTATCAGGGGGCTCTGTACTATTTTTAGTCCAAAATTTAAATAATTTTCTAGACTAGGTGTATATATAGATGAATAGGAGAATATAGATTGAATAGATGAAAATATAATATATATATATATATAGAGAGAGAGAGATGAATATTCCAAAAAAATAATACCAGAGGAAAATTAAACTAACCCCAAAAGCCCCAAGCGTTTCCTTGAGGCGTGATGCTACGATTAATGTTCCTATTCAGTGTTTCTTGACAGTTGTTAGTTCTGTTCTTCTGGCCGAACACGGAAAAGGCTGCAGGCGTCACCTTTTCAATCCATTCATCTTTGAAATATCTGTAAGAAGAGTAGTTATGTTTAATTTACAGAACTGAAGTGCTTTGAAGAATAACGTTGTTTGGGTATGGGGAGGGAAGAAATATTACCAATGGCCAAAAAGCCAAAGATCCCACCGTGCAACGACAGTTGATGCCTGGATCATGGATGTATTAAGATTGTGTCAAATATATATACTGTTTTGTTCTAAGTATTCTTATATTAATTTTTAATTTTAATGCACTCTAATAATATGTAACTGATTTCACCACAATCTCCATTTAAATACCATTTCAAATAGTTAAATGTTTTCCTCATAGAGTGCATCAGTATCTTCAAACCCCAATGGTTTCAAGACTAGCTCTCTGATTGGTCACTGATATGTATCACATGACCAACTCCTTCCTTCAGTAGAGTAGTGGCACACTCTTGGGCAAGTCCTGTTGCTATGAGGACTTAACATGCCTTTTCTCCTACATTTTCAAATACCATAAACCTCTATACCAACATAAATATTTAGCGCTGGCTTATAACTTATTATAAAGACAATTGAAGTGTTTTTTAACATCATATAGTGAGAAAAAGTGAACTTATCAACATTATAGCATTTCAGGATTCATCAAAGGGGGCCCCCAGTCTACGCATCAGTTTAATAACAAAAGGTTAGTGTATCCAATTCAAAATTACTATAATACAGTCCACATTGCTTTCTAATTAATATAAATTCCCCACAGATTGCTTATGTATTTTTTTTCATATGCCCTATAATACTTGATATTTATATAAACAAATATTGAATGACCAACATGAAATCCACTTATAAAAAAGTCGATGTATGTGTTGAAGAGAAACTCCCAAACACATTGTTTTACACATGTTGCTATTTGCCACCCCCTTCAGGGTGAAAATCAGTCCAATAGCAGTTTAAAGAGGGGAGCCGAGTATTTTTTCTTGGTAGTCATTATGATGTATGGCCGTATATATAAATTAAAATAGGAATAATACAAATCCAAAACTTAAGCATTGGTAAGGTTTTTGTTGAAACAAAGAGTACGGTAAATGCCCATTGGAAAATATTGATTAGTAATATAAAAATAATAGTAAAAATATAGGGCCTATTGTGATTTGTTCAACATCAAGTATTATACAGAAAAATTAGTAGTCGTTTATATATTATCTTATACAGTGTTTACCACGTAAGGTGTCTCAAATTGATTACGAAACAAAAGGCTTAACGTACTATGACGAAATAAAATTATTTCCCGCTGAATTGACCCCAAGGAATAACGCAAAAATAGTTGAACCCTTTTCAGATACAGAGTGGTGTGCCAAAAACGAGTCACTACTAGTAGTTCCCATCTCGGAACTTTCAAATGTAAACATGTGTCATGTTATACATCACTTTAAAGGTATTTAATAGACAAACATTTAGGAGAAACAGATATAAATTTTCTTTTTCCGTTTTAAAATTGCGACAGTTTATTTGGAAAACATTTATTCGTTTTTAATACTCTGTGTTTCCTATACCAATGCACTTAGCCCTTATCCGATCCTTATTAGCCCTTTTCTCACTCGTTATGAAATTTGCTTCACTGTGATATGCTACAAGTATCGGTTTTTTGAAATAATAAAATTCCCAAAAAATGGATTTTTGAAAATTTAGACTGCAAATGTAAATTGCTTAAAATTTTCAAATAGCAACATATGTCAAGTGGCACATCATTTTATATAGGGTTTTTAATTCATAACAACTTTGTAATTTACACTTACTTCGAATGTCTTTTACATTTTGTGTAGATAAAAAAAAAATCCTATATCAAATGCATGTTATTTGGGTTTAACACTAAATTAAATGGAGCCTTTAGGGAACACCCTGTATATTTATATACATTTTTTCTATACTTATTTTTATACTATTTATATACAAGGTGAGTAGGTTTCAGAAAAACTCCTCAAAAGTTAGAAAAAAATTACACATGTAAAATATGGATAGAGAATTAGAAATAGTTTATCTTTTGAGGGCTGGAAACGAACATTTGCGTGTAAAGAGCAAAAACCTATAAATAAATAAATTTTTAAATGTTTAATGCTGTTAACATTTAACATGCACAATATTATATACTTTTCTAAGAAATGAAGCCAAATACAAAGATTATCAACAGCAAAATGTAGACAGGGAAATAAAGGGTTACTTACGCTATCAGCCGCATAGCCTTTGATTTGTATTCATCATTTGTTGTTTCAACCAAGCTTTCAATTACTCGTAATGCCTCGAGAATTCGACAAGGCGGCAGAAGTGCTGTCACCATTAATCGCTTGGCGACATCACATCCACCAGGTTCCCCATGCTTCAGACCGATCTTTTTTTATTTTCTTTCTATTGCCTGTAACACAGCGTAACACATGTTTCAGGAAGGATTACCAATACATACCCAATCACCAAATCAGCTTTTTATTAGCGAAGAATGATTTAGGCATATCACAGCGTTCCTCACGTGTATTAATGTTTTATAGCTATAGTATATTTCATTACTAGGACCGAAAGTGGCATTTTCCGGAGCGCGCTCAAGTTTTTGTGTGAGGCGAAGCCGAACACAGGAAAACCCAATTTCACATGCGAGGCGAAGCCGAGTATGTGAGAGCTATTTTCACGTACGAGGCGAAGCCGAGGACGGGAATAATAGAGCAAGAGCCGGAAAATAACTTTCGGTACGAGTTATGAACGATACTTTTCATCACAACGCAAAAATACACAAACACAGAATAACAGACCTCAGTAATATTACAACTAGTTTATTTCTAAATTAGTTTTTAAACATCTAAATAAAATGAAATCTTTTAAAAGGAACCCTTCGTATATAACTTATTTCTCAATTAATCTGTTTTAAACATCAAAATCAAAAGAAATTCTAAAGGAAACCTACCTAACATTTAAGAAATTAGAAGTTTATGGTTATGTTTATTGTACAGTTTTCATTGTTGGAGACATTCACTCCTTCGTTTAAAAGTTTTTTTCTGAAGTTCTTGAATCGTTGAAACGTTTGTAGTGGTCGTGTTTGTTTCACCAACTTTTCTTACTTTTCTCTGAGGGCATTCTTCATCTTCTGAGTTGTTAAAAACATGATCAATATCAAAAAAATCGATTTGGCTTCCTGAAGGTGTTTTTTCTACAACATTTCTGTTTGTATTCTTAGCAGCTGTAGAACTCATTGCATGCGGATTTTTAAACAGTTTTCTTGACAGTTGCAATTTTCTTCCAATTGAATTTTCTATGTAACTCTCTGCGACATTAGAGGACTTCCAACCTCCGTGTGATTTAAGGGCAAGTAAATCCCCTCCTCCCTCGACTAGCATGGTGGCTGAGGTACGCCTGAGGGCGTGTGATCCAGTATAGCGCTCCGGTTCGTCTAACTTAAGGTATTCTGCTACCTTTTTTGGGATTGAACTGATTGTGTGACCCCCTACATTTTGTCCCACGCATTTACCCTTCCTGTAGCCAATTAAAAATCGGTTACTTTTCATTTGTCTGGGGCGCAATAACAAGTATTTGCGAATCAAATCACATGGTCTATATGGACAGTTGTCATTGGTTATGGTAAAACTGCGTTTAATGTGTGTTTTGTCATCGTTGAGAAACACGACAAAAAAACTGCCATTGTCTGTAATATCTTCTACTTTTAAATTTATAAGATCGTGGTTTCGACAAGCTCCATAAATACCCAGAGTTAGGATGACCTTGCTCAATAGCCATTCATCATCAGGAGCGTTAACCATGAATCTTTGAATTTCGTCTTCAGTAAAAACCTTAGCTTTTGTAGGTTGATAACCCACTGATTGACGTTTAAGAAATGCTAGGGATTTGTTAAATTTTGATACATCCAAATTTTCTTTTAATTTCAAACCACTCTTTATCATAGAAAATCTACTCCACAACGTTGTTGGTTTCATGCTTTTAGATTTCTCAGATAAATATACTAATAAAACTTCGTCACTTACATTCTTTGGTAAAACATTGTGTCCTTGGCACCAGTCCACAAACTTCCTGAACTCCTCTTCATACCTCTCTCTTGATTTCTCTGGAAGGAGGTTTTTGGTTATCTCTGAAGCTTTCTTTGCTAAATCGTCCGAAATGTCAGACATATTTTGGCCGCTTTTAAATACGCACTAAACTAAAAACACAGCAAAACAAGCTTGTTCCTGTTTACATTTAGATTGTCAAACAATAAAAACAGCTGATTCAAATCATTAAATTAAACTATAACAAAACACTAGCACGCGTAGTGAATAAATGTAGAACTATTTGAGAGCGAACGAAAGTAAATTTAGAGCGAGGGAAAATCAGCTGATCGATTTTCCCTCGCCCTAAATTAGAGCTTGGGAAACGGCTACTTTCATTGATGTCAGGTGTTATCGAAAATAGTTACTTTCGTTACGGAGTGATGAAAATACTATTACTGCTTTATAACAAAGCAACTACTTTGACACCGAACATCCAATGTTTTCGCCTGATACAAGTTCTACACGAAGTGGACCTAAACAACTGTGATTAATAATGGGCAGCATCACTGGTGCTGTAAATAAATGTGTTAGGAGTGCATTGTAATACAGCATAACGGAATTAACATTGATTTGCACACATTATTTCTAATTTTTTTCAGGGTGGCAGATTGCGTGTATATAAATAAATATTATGCACTTAACTGTCTTCGAATCCTCATTGGTTTTGACACTACGGCCGTTTTGGAGATTACTCCATCGTCGGGTGTAGTCGTACACTAAACTAAAATACTGTTATATTTACATTTTTAACGGGATTTCTTCATTTTCATTGCGTCATCAGGCGGTCACCAGTTTTATAGCCGTGCACGTGCTTAAATGTTTTTGTGTCGTGTTTTCTGTAGGTATATGTACTATTTAATAATTGACGCAATGAAAATGAAGAAATCCCGAGAAATGTAAATATAACAGTATTTTAGTTCAGTGTACGGCTACACCCGACGATGGAATAATCTCCGAAACGGCCACATACAGATTGGCCAATGGTTTAAGGGTCGTTTCTAACATACAGATTGACCTAAGGTCCTAATGAGCAGTGACAAAAAATGAGGGAGGAGCTTACAGCAGCGATGTCCCGTGTGGGGGAAGGGGCTTGTCTATTCACATGAAGTGTTTGTCAACGCTTTCTAATCGTAACAGTCACAGAGGTGGCCAAACTCAAGAGACGCATTTAATTTTGTAAAACATAAAGTGTTATATCTATATATTAATTTGAAACTGTTTTTCTTTGTGACTACAGCTGAAATAAAACAATGCGGTATTCTAAGGCAAATAATCTATAAGTATAAAAGAGGATGTTTGTATATATATATATATATGTATATATATATATATACTAGTGGCGTGTAGGGACATAAGTCCCCAAAATGCTCAATAATATAAAACAAATTATTCTAATATTTGAACAAACAAAGAAATAATTATCTATGTGACAGAATAGATATCCCTGTATATATGCCATATCTTTTGTGTAAAAAACAGTTTGTTGTTTGTCTTTGTTGATGTTATTTTCAATAAATCATTTCGAATCACCACATAGATTTAACTCTGCTAAAGCAAGGTCACACTATAAAGGCAGCAAACATATAATTGGTTGTGAGTAAATACTGGTTTATTAAGGTAGCTCGTTAATTATTTATTCAATGTGGATATTTCTTGTTAAACAAAAGTATATAACCATAGATTAAACATATAACGTAACTAAAAAGTCTTAATTATTATAGGTAACGTTATCCCTGGTTTTATATAGTACATTGCTGAACTTACTGGCATATAAGTATAATCCAAATGTTAACATTGCGTACTGGCTTGATGATAAATCACGATCAGCTGTATGAAGTAAACAAAATTAGCAGAAAATGGCTTCTAATGCTATTCTTATGGAGAACATTTTACGTTATATCACGTTTTCTGTTAACTTTATGGAAGCTCTACTATTTTTCCCGAGTCCCTGGGGTCAAGACCTTTAATTTAAGACCCCTCCCACTTTTCTGCGACTTACCAGACGTCCAAAATTTTCTGGTAAAGATTTTGTCTTACAGAATTATATATAAGGATTTGGCAGTGATAAACTCGGACACCGCTGAACCGATTGCCACGAAACTTGGTACATACGTGTAGAATTTCATGAAATAGGTTTATACACCATCAATTTCGTGATCCGTCCAATCGGCTCCACCCCAGTGGCTCTGGAGTTTCCCATGTTAACCTTATGAGAAATGGAATTAATGAATCTTAACAGCTGTTTCAATTAAACAAGTTGGTTCTGTTCTATGATGTTCAATAGCATTAAAGTTACAAGGATTACCAACAGGGTGAGGCATTGGCGATAATCTTTGGTGTGAACCATTTCTACAACTACCTACTTGGCAAGAAGTTCATTCTAGTTACAGACAATGAACCATTGACAAGGATTTTTCACCAAAATAAAGCTCTACCACAGATGACGTCAGCTCGCCTGCTGCGATACGCTTCATTCCTCTCCGGATTTGATTACATCGTTCGATTCAAGAAGGGAAGTAGCAATCAAAATGTAGATTGTTTATCAAGATCTCCAGTCAAAACATGCAGTAGTTCAACAGATCAAGAAATCGGGGAAGAAGTGAACCAGCTTTATTCTCAATCACTTTTTCAAGTATCCAACCGTGAAATAACTTCAAAGACAATCAAAGAAGAAACCGCAAAAGACCATGAAATGAATGGAATAGTTCGAACCCTGAAAAACAATTCTACTGACTCAGAATACACCCTACTTGACGGTATATTGTTTCGCAAAGACAGAATTGTAATTCCAACATCTTTACGCTCCAAAATACTCGGTGAACTTCATGAAACTCATCTGGGAATAACCAAAATGAAGCAACTCGCTCGACGCTATGTTTACTGGCCAGGAATTGACGGTGAAATCGAAAGACTAGTTAAAGGATGTAAAAGTTGTGCCCTTGTGAAAGCAAGTCCACCTAAAGTGTCAGTACATCCGTGGAACCTACCTGAAAATAACTGGGACCGCATACATATAGATTATGCCGGCCCTTATGAAAATCACTACTTTCTTGTTTGTATTGACGCAAGATCCAAATGGGCTGAAATCGAAGTGTTGAAGGAAGCTCCCACATCTTCAAACACAATCAATCTGTTAAATAAGATATTTGCTACACATGGGTATCCGAAAGAATGCGTTTCTGATAATGCTACAATATTTACAAGTGAAGAATTCAGAGCTTACTGCAAGATCAACGGCATATTCCAAAAGTTCATCGCCCCTGGGCATCCAGCGACGAATGGCCTTGCAGAACGCAACGTACAAACCCTGAAGAACAAATTAAAGTCAGCTTCTGAAGAACCTGGAACCCTGACAGACAAAGTGAGAAGAATCTTATTCCGTTATAGAGCTACTCCATTAGCTAGCAACCAAACCCCTGCTGAACTCTACCTCAATAGAAAACTAAGGATTCGACTGGATGCCATATTTCCTTATCAACACCCTAAATCAAATATCCAGCCTGTTTTAAAACCTGTCAGATCGATTCAAGAGGGGGAGAGAGTGCAAGTTCAAATGTACACTAACAACAGACAAGTTTGGCAGTTTGGAGTAATAAAGAAGAAGCTAGGAAAAAGACATTACATAGTAACACTCGATAGTGGAAGAAATATCAAGAGACACATTAACCAGCTTAGACCAACTCTAGTAATGAAAGAAAAGATGGTAACATTTGGACCTAAGCAATCATTTGATGTACCAAGACTTCCAAACCAAACTCCATCGTATCCTGATCAAATACCCGACCATATTGAACCAGAACAAGACCACCCTACAGAAGTTAACATTCCAGTTCGCTCTCCACGATCAATAAGACAACGACGACAGCCACCTTGGTTACGAGACTTTATCGTTCAAAAATAGGTTATGTTCTTCTCAATAAGTGAGGGAGAGTGTCATAATCTTTATTCTATATAGTCAGCTGTTGATAAATATTAAATAGAAAACACTTGTTATTGTTACTTTTAAAAACATTACATTACAAAAACATCTATGTTGTAAAAATAAAGTTATATAAGTTACAATGTGCGTGTATTTTAATAGTACGGTCACAACAAACAATAATAAAACTAATAAACTAAAATTACTTTCAGAAGTTGAAATGTATGAGCGAAGGAATATGCTATTGTTGCTAATTGTTGACAAACACTTGACTTGAATGGACAAGCTCCTCCCCCACACGGGACATCGCTGCTGTAAGCTCCTCCCCCATTTTTTGTCCCTGCTCATTAGGACCTTTGGTCAATCTGTATGTTAGAAACGACCCTTTAACCATTGGCCAATCTGTACGCGCGCTCCGAAACGGCCGTAGTGTCATAATCAATAAGGATTGCGAAGACAGTAAGTACATAATATTTACATTATTTCTACTTAGTTATTTATTACACCACTTAAATAGATAAGGTATCGTTTGATTTTTCTTTTAACTGTGTATTTAATATCCTTCTTAATAATGTTTTGTAGCTGTAACGGTTATCATGGAATTTTATATTAAACCTTAAAAACCAAGCCATTTTTTAATCAATTTAGTTAGAGCGACGAGATTTTATACACCTATTCGACCTATTAATGTAGACTTTAACCAAATTTCAAAATTCTATCATAACATATCTTTCCTAAGTTACAACATATTTCATAAAAACATTTACACTAGACTAGTTTCGATGGCAGATTTCATACTACAATTAATGTACTACTAGTTATAATCTTGCAATCTGTTTATCTATCATTCTATAGTGTGATTGGGATAAATAAACGTATTTAATTTCATTTTATTTACCATGATAATAATTACCTGTGTGAAATGAAACCAACAACCGACATGTTTAGCTGCTGGAAAGTTACTTTGCACTGACACGTGGATCGCTCTTTCGTAGTCACTCATTATCACTTTGGGGAGCATTTCTGGCACAGAGACACCGATGGACTAATATCTCATCCGGCTGTCTCTGTGGTGTGAATGGTTGCCAAAATTTACACAGAGACAGCCCAGGAGGGAGGAGTGTTCATCGGTCATCCCTGATAAGGGCCAAGAACGTGCCTTATCACTCTTAGATAACTTGCCAAACTTTTGCGAGGAATCTCTGCCTGTAGACTAGTTTATATAGTTATTTCATGTACGTAGATAAACCTGTTATCAAATGTCTGAATCAAGATTATGGGAAATGAAGATACACTATTCTATCAAGGTTAATACACATAATAAGGGATCCTTAAAGTATTTACATTTAGACTGCAAACCAAGTATTGTACTTAAAGATACCTCGATGGTATAGGTACTGGCAGATATATTTTGGCAGCTTGATTTAAGGGTTAATATGTGATGAAAACTACTGAATATTACATTATATAGGTAGTAAAAAGCATAAATCGTCAGCAAATGTTGAGAAATTTAGCATATTTCAAAACCTTTAATTTTTATTGGCATTTTAAAATCTCAAACCTTTGTAGCCTATAACTTTGAAAGTATTTGAGCTAGAACAATGGTTGAAACTGTGTTTTAATCAGGGTTTAGAGTACAATAGGTTATGACAATTTATTTATGTGCAAATTCATCATTTCCAAATGTATATATCCCAGAGAGCAAGGTTCCCCCCCCCATATAATGTCTCGCGTAGCAATGCTTGTATTGGCCGTATTGTAGGCATTCAAGACGTGATTGCAGGTTTTGTTTGTAAAATAATCAATTATTTTGTAAACTATAGATATTTATGGAATTCTTGGGGTTCTAAACTTTGAAGCAACAAATACTTTGTTGATATATGAGGTTTATAAAATTAAAAATTGATTAGTTTCAAAAATATAATCAAATAATGGATGGTTTGCATGAGAAAACTCAATTAATTTTAGCGAATCACACTTTGTTTTTTAATTATTAAGTAAACTATTGAATTTTTATCCTTTAAATCGGTTTAATACCATTAAATACATTGTTCTTTGTTGCAATAAAGCATTTTCAAGCATTAAAATTGTTAAATTACAAAATTATAAGCTAATAAAGTAAATTTGTATGTAAGAAAATACTGCTTTCAACTTTTAAAAGTCAAAGAATAGCTTAGATATGACATTTTTTAATAGGATTATGGATTACGTATTAAGACAAAGAGTGTATAAAAGCAATTCAATTAAGATTCATACCAAAAAAATATTTATAATCGATAAAACACATTACGTAAAATAAAAATCAAAATATTTTTTGCTAAAAATTGTCTTTATTTGTGGATTTTCTTTTAAGTCTTATAGTTTGAACGCTTGAAAATGCTTTATTACAATAAAATACTATCTAGTTAATGGTATAGAACTAATTTAAACGATAAAAAGTAAATAGTTTGCTTAATAATGCAAAAACATAGTCAGATTTACAAGAATTTCATGAAATTTTTTCATGCAAACCTTGCATTATTTGTTACTATTTTTTATATTCTTCAATATTTACCGTCTAAAACCTTATATATCAACAGAGTATTAGTTGCACCATGGTAACAAACCAAAAAAAATCCATAAATACCAATAGTTTAGGTAAAAATTGAGAGTTTTCAAAAAAAAGAAAACCAAAAGACCACACAAAGTGACAGTAGACTATGGACATTTGTGGTCAATTTTACCAATATACAACACCAATTTGACTAGATATGAGATATTGTCATATAGCAGGTATAATAGAGTCTTAAATCGTTTACATCATAAAGTTAGTCCCATATTGATGTGATTAGGTGTTCAAAAGTTGAGGGATTTTAATATCTCAAATTTAGACAAGTTAATGATTCTAGAGTAAAAGTAGTAGTTATCTACACCTTTGACCAAGGTTCCTGATAACTGATTTACCTCCGGAAGCTAATCTTTAAGACAATAAACTCTCATAACAGCTTGAACAGATTAGGCATGTCCATACAGTTGTAGACTTAACTTATAATTTTGAGAGTGTTTAACATGAGGTATAGGTTCATTTCATACTAAAGTACAAGTTTGATAACAGTCAGTTTGATTGTTGTTGGTATTCAAATGCCATATAGGCTTAATAAGGATTTCATACAAAAGTACAAATTTGATAACAGTCTAAGTCAATTGGGTTTACAGATTAATACAATTTATTGAGTTTACAGATAAGTCTGTTATCTAAATGAGATAAGACATGACCCTGCCAAAAATTGTTATCTAGAAGTGATAAGGCACGTTCTTGGTCCTTATCAGGGATGACCGATGAACACTCCTCCCTGCTGGGCTGTCTCTGTGTAAATTTTGGCAACCATTCACACCACAGAGACAGCCGGATGAGATATTAGTCCATCGGTGTGCCACCAATTTTTACACAGAGACAGCCCAGGAGGGAGGAGTGTTCATTGGTCATCCCTGATAAGGACCAGGACCGTGCCCTATCACTTCTAGATAACAATTTTTGGCAGGGTCATGTCTTATCTCATTTAGATAACAGACTTATCTGTAAACTCAATAAATTGTATTAATCTGTAAACCCAATTGTCTTAGACTGTTATCAAACTTGTACTTTTGTATGAAATCCTTATTAAGCCTATATGGTATTTGAATACCAACAACAATCAAACTGACTGTTATCAAACTTGTACTTTAGTATGAAATGAACCTATACCTCATGTTAAACACTCTCAAAATTATAAGTTAAGTCTACAACTGTATGGACATGCCTAATCTGTTCAAGCTGTTATGAGAGTTTATTGTCTTAAAGATTAGCTTCCGGAGGTAAATCAGTTATCAGGAACCTTGGTCAAAGGTGTAGATAACTACTACTTTTACTCTAGAATCATTAACTTGTCTAAATTTGAGATATTAAAATCCCTCAACTTTTGAACACCTAATCACATCAATATGGGACTTACTTTATGATGTAAACGATTTAAGACTCTATTATACCTGCTATATGACAATATCTCATATCTAGTCAAATTGGTGTTGTATATTGGTAAAATTGACCACAAATGTCCATAGTCTACTGTCACTTTGTGTGGTCTTTTGGTTTTCTTTGTTTTGAAAACTCTCAATTTTTACCTAAACTATTGGTATTTATGGATTTTTTTTGGTTTGTTACCATGGTGCAACTAATACTCTGTTGATATATAAGGTTTTAGACGGTAAATATTGAAGAATATAAAAAATAGTAACAAATAATGCAAGGTTTGCATGAAAAAACTTCATGAAATTCTTATAAATCTGACTATGTTTTTGCATTATTAAGCAAACTATTTACTTTTTATCGTTTAAATTAGTTCTATACCATTAACTAGATAGTATTTTATTGTAATAAAGCATTTTCAAGCGTTCAAACTATAAGACTTAAAAGAAAATCCACAAATAAAGACAATTTTTAGCAAAAAATATTTTGATTTTTATTTTACGTAATGTGTTTTATCGATTATAAATATTTTTTTGGTATGAATCTTAATTGAATTGCTTTTATACACTCTTTGTCTTAATACGTAATCCATAATCCTATTAAAAAATGTCATATCTAAGCTATTCTTTGACTTTTAAAAGTTGAAAGCAGTATTTTCTTACATACAAATTTACTTTATTAGCTTATAATTTTGTAATTTAACAATTTTAATGCTTGAAAATGCTTTATTGCAACAAAGAACAATGTATTTAATGGTATTAAACCGATTTAAAGGATAAAAATTCAATAGTTTACTTAATAATTAAAAAACAAAGTGTGATTCGCTAAAATTAATTGAGTTTTCTCATGCAAACCATCCATTATTTGATTATATTTTTGAAACTAATCAATTTTTAATTTTATAAACCTCATATATCAACAAAGTATTTGTTGCTTCAAAGTTTAGAACCCCAAGAATTCCATAAATATCTATAGTTTACAAAATAATTGATTATTT